TACAAGAATACAGTCTGGAAATGTGGGGAAAAAAGAAGGAGAAAAACAAGGAGTCAAGATGACATCTTCCATCCCCTGGACTGGCTTTTCTTGAATCCATAATTCATAGGCTCTGATGCTTTGGCTAAATTGAATTAAATTTCTTCCTTCTCGTTTGAAAGCACCCCCAACTCATGCACTAACAGGAGGAAACGTGAGTGGAAGGTTGGCCACCCCACTAATTTTTGGCAATGAAAGATCAACTTTTACCTATAAATATTTGCACAAATAGATGTAAAAAATTTTGCCTCTTTAGAAAATATAATGAGCTGGGTGTGGTGGCTCAGTGGCTGAGTCCCCTAAGTTCGATCCCTGGCACCACCATCACTCCCCCAAAAAAGAAAAGAAAATGGATACATGGAGTAAATTAATCTCATTCTGATTGCTAAAAACATGTCAAATGTCCAAAAAAAGCACCCCAGAACAATATGAACTGTTAAGACCAAAGATTGTTATAAACAATGGTATTAAAAAATTGAGTAAAGTATCATGGACAGCAAACCAAACTGAAGCAAGTTAATCTTTGGGGTGGTAAACTTCAAAGGAAGCCCTTTTGATTTTACTGATCAGCAAATAAGCTGAGGTTACAGAGAGTCAAACAAGCAAGAGAAATTATCCTATCCAAACTCTTTGTTTTTATTATAGTGCTTAGAATAATACAGCTTTTTTTTTTTCTTGAGAGCCTAGCTAATGCAAAGCTAGAAGGAAACAAAGTCAAATTTCTTTGTTCAAAACCTTTTTATTGCCCCAGCTTAAAACAAAATAATTGGATACAGTTCTAACTATTCCTCATAGTCTCTCAGTAAAACTAGGTACAATTTAGTGAAGCAAGATGCTAAGACATTTAATGCCTTGGCGTATTTTTGCTAGAATATAATTAAAAGGTTAGTATTTCTCCCACAAAAATTATAAAATGTTAAATTCAAATTCATGTGAGAAGATTGCATTAATAAGATAATTATCAGATATCTAAAAATGGAAAAGAAATAACAAATTAAAGAAAATTTTTATTTTGTTTGAATGACAGCCTAAGTCTCATAAATGCCATGGAAGGAAGATGGACCCAATTTAGTTGCTTTTAAAAGGGAAGCATTTATAAGCTTTCCATTCAAAAATTAAAGAGTGTCTATTTGGAGCCACATTAGGATAATGTGGTACTGCTCAGATATTAAAGAAGCCACTTTGGCCACTACATAAATGGTTGAAAGATACAACAATAAAATACCCATCTTAATGCCATGGAGAAAGACTCCATGTTGCTTTAGAAGTTTTA